AGACTTGTTTGGTGACACAACATGCTACTTCTGGTGGGTTCCTGGTGCTCTTTGCAAGTTTATATATATATATAAATATAAATATAAACTTATATATAAATATAACTTAAGAAAACAAATATAAATATATATAATTATATATAGCTCTTAAACCAGATTTTTCTGGGTTAAAAAGGAGAGGTTTAGCCGATTATAATGTTATTTAGAACAATATTCCTATTTCCCCCTGCTATAATGTAAGGAACCTGTTGGTCCATATATCAAAACGAGTGCCTTACTGTACGATTTTTGAACATTCCTCCTCCATTTAGCGCCTTTTAAATAAAAGATTTATTTACCCGTGCGATGTTGGAGCTTGTTATTTTTAAATTTTGAAGTAAGAATCTTGGGGCTTTGGGATGCCCGACGGAAGTCAAATCCGGCTGTCGGTCGTCGCATTCTGTGAACAGATGTGAAACGTTTCCAGGTACAGGTAATCCTCAAACTTACGACCACAATAGAGCCCAGAATTCCCACTGCTAAGTGAAACATCGGTTAAGTGAACGTGGCCCCATTTTGCCACTTTTCTTGGCATGGTTGTTAAATGAATCAGGGCAGTTGTTAAGCAGATCCTGCTTCCCCGTTGAGGCTGCTTGTTGGAAGGTGACAAAAGGGTGATCCTGGGACGCTGCAACCATCATAAGTACATGCCAGTTGCCAAGCATATGAATTTTGATCCCATGACATGTGCAATAGTTGTATGAAAAACAGCCATAATTCCCTTTTTTTGGTGCCCTCATGACTTCGAACGGTCACTAAGGGAATTATTGCAAGTCGAGGCCTACCTGTGCAATCTTTCTAACATTCCCTACAAATTTCTTGCTTCTCTGCCAACACATCGCCTGCACACATATGTACACTGTTGTGGCCCACCAGCGGCCGGTAGAGCTGATGGCAGACTCGAACAGTGAGGCGGTTGGGGAGGATTATGGGCCAGTCCTGGAGTCTGGGGAAGGCTCTGAGGGGTGCTTTGCATCGGAGGCAGAGATAGGGCCAGGGCCCTCCGACAGTATCAGCTGCCTTCGGAGTCAGAGATCAGTGGGGAAGAAGAACAGCTGGAGCCTGTTCCCAGTGTGCGCATGCACAGAGCTGCTAGAAGAAGGGAACAGCTAAGGAACAAGGGAGTAAGGCCACAGGTGGACACTGAAGGGCCCCTCCCCTCCCAAAAGAGGAGCAAAAGGGGAGGGGGCTTTTGCAGGAAACCATTCATTCGTTGCAGCCGCGGGAAGATCAGTCGGTGCATCTCAGAGTCTCTGTGCCGAGTCCTTCCTTGTCAGCACTGCGTTTGGAAATAGTTACTTGGCAGCTCTCCAGGCGAGATGAGGCCTGTGCTCCTAATCAGACCCTTGAAAGACTGTTTGCCAGGCCTATAAAGGGCTGAATGCGAATGCAAGAAATTCACCTTCGTTTAATAAAAGGGGTTTTGCCAGGACAAAGAGTTTGCTTCGAGCTTTTGGGGGAAGCCGAGATCAGAACAGACAGGAAATAAAAACAGATCAGGGGAAAAAATATTTCAAACATTCTTTAATGAATAAATTCTATTTTCAGCCAGGATCCATATAGTTGGTTGTTTTTTGAGATACACCCACATTACGCCTGGCAAACATTTCTCTTTTCAAACCTAAGAACTTCAAGGGATTCATTAAAACTATCTTCTTGCTTAAAACATGGGTTGTATCTATACTCAACGAAGTTCATGGTGAAAGTATCCTATCCAAACCTTATCCCCGGTGTGTGGGGGTGTGTGTGAGGGCAAGGTATTGTGTGGACAGAAAATATCACAGTTATTAAATATGAGAATGATTGTATTCACGAGACAAACCAGGTTCACAACGAAGTGGTTTCTGTATTTTGTTTTTCCTCCAACAAACACATATCTGGTTGACTAGCTAATACTAGTTGGTTGACTAGCTAATACTAGTTGGTTGACTAGCTAACACTAGCGTGGTTTTATTTGTGGATAAGCCAAAGGACAATTCAAGTATGCCCCTTCTTTGTGTCGGCTTCAAGCAATGGCGGAAGACAGGAACAAAAGTCACTTGCATGCTTGGCAGCTGCTAAAGTGAAACCAAGCCTGCATTGGAGCAATTGACTTAGATAGGAAACCATCTTTGGCCAAGAGTCTTGCAAACCCCACAACCGAGTGATGTCGATTAACCACTTTTCTGAGTTGGCACCAAATGTTCAACTCCGAGGTTGGCTCTTCGCAAAGCCGTTGCACGCCAGTGGAAACAAACAAACCAGGTTTAAGGGGAACCTGGTTTACTTGACCGTATGCTTGCTGCCATCCTATCTTTTAAGGGTTTGAACCTCCAACCATGTTTGCATGGCATGCATGCTTGTGCCTGCCTTCTTAGATTAAAAGGACCCACAAGGCCCCGGGTGTGAATAATTCCCGGGCATCGCAATTTAACACAACTCAATTTCGGCTACGGTTGAAGATGGAGAAATTTCCCCCCAAAACGAAAAATGGTGTTTTTTTAAAAAAATTCAATTTTACATGATTCTCAGTGACTAGACAACGTTGGGCATGTTTTTTTGGCAAGGTTATTTTTTTGAAGCGGTTTGCCGTTGCCGCCTTCGTAGGGCTCAGAAAAAAATGTGCGGCTCAGTTTTTAAGGCGTTGTGCCTAAAACAGGACTAGAATTCCAAGTCTCCTGGTTTCTGGAGCTTTTAACCACTTCACCAAAGCAAGCGAAATTCAGATGAGATGCATTTACGGATAAAAGAAAAAATGAACACTTCTCCATTATTTACGTTCCTCAACCTAGCAACTTTAAGCTCGCTTGGGCTTCCAACTCCCAGAATTCCCCATAATCCACGCACCTTAACAAGTGTTGAGGGACATGGGTTCATAGCACCAAGGAAAGCAACCCTACTTGCTTGTCAATGCAGATTATAAATATAAATATGCACAAACATTGCAAAAATAATAATAATAAACCATCAAAATCTACAGATGGTTAAAGGAGGTGATCACAGTAAAAATAATTAGCTTTAACTCGTCCTCTTTCAGGAAGGGGAGTAGAATATGGATGGATATGTTTGTTCAGATGGAGACCTGGTTTGGAGAAGACCTTATTACCGGCAAGAAGGTTCGCCAGGAACCTTTGCAGAGTTCCCATTTTAAATCAATTCAGAAACCAGGTTTCCCAGTTGATTCAGAGTGGTGTTGCTTATTCCATCGTTCCTGGCCAACATCTCCATTCAAGACTCTCACAGGAGAACATCTGAAGAAATTCTGGAACAATCTTCAATAGCGTGTCTCAACCTCAAACAAGTTTTCAAAAGGGGTGTGGACTTCAACTCCCAGAATTTCTCGTGAGTTGGGAGTCTATGTGTCTTCTTGAAGTTGTTGAGGTTGAAGAAGACTGTCCTGGATTGTCCCAAAGGAACCTGAGAGATAGCTATCCTGTTTGGCCAAGGTTTTGTCTCTCAAGAAAGTTGGGTTAGTCTTCCTTGTCCTTCACCAATAGGCCATTTTTATCTAGGGACACTTAAGTATTTTAGATCAGGGATGTCCAACCTTGGCCACTTTTAAGACCTGTAGACTTCCCAGAATTCCACAACCAGCCATGCTGGCTATGGAATTGTGGGACTTGGAAGTCCGCAAGTCTTAAAGTGATCAAGATTGGACATCTCTGTTCTAGATGAAGGTCGTGAGATTTGGTTTCTTCATGGGTATTGGGGAGAAAGAGCTATCTAGCTACCTTCTATCCACAAATTAACAGACACAGAGAGACCTTGGTCAATCTGATTTCTGAGGAACCAACTTTGGATGATGATTGTTGGACCAAGATGACAAATGGCTGGTCAACGCTCCCCTCCAACCCCAAAGCAACTTGATAGCTGTCCACACCTTCTTAAGCCCTGCCCAAGGACACCCAGTTCTCACTGGCATGGCTCTTCTGTCCCCAACGGGCCAGAAGCTTCTGCAGATGTTCCTCAACCATGACCTGGATCACGCATGAAAGGGGAGAATGAGCTAGTTCTTCACTGTAAACCAGACTATCATAAAGCGACTTCCACATGTCATCATCATCTTCTTCTTAACAACCCCATAATCCCTTGCAGGGGTAGAGTCTGAATGGAGCTAGCAGGTTGTTTTCATGGCCGGATGCCCTTCCTATTGCCAATGCGGAGTTTTATTCGGCAGATATATTCTCATCGCGCCCAGAGAAAGAAAGATCTGCCTCTACCTAGGATCGAACTCACATCCTCCTGACTGTGAGGCGTGTGCTCCACTTCTAGGCCACCGCCCTGGGGGGGGGGGGGTTGTTTCTTGCAAACTTTGGGGGCAAAATTGCCCAATTAATGGAGTCGAAGGAACCACCAAACCACGGATCAGATTCCTCTTCAGTCAAAGAAACCAGCTTATCATTCACACCGCAACAACCCAAAGACACGCAAAACCGTATTTCCCCTTCTCCAAGGGAGGTGCAGCCCAGCTTGGCCCAGCCAAGAGTTGCGACTGTTGTGTTACAAAAATTCAACCTTCCCGGCCTGCCCGGCGAAGAACCTGGGGCCCCTTGGTCCACCCGAAGGACGCGACAACGTCCATCCGACGGGAAGCCTTCTCCCTCCATCATTCCTGCTTCTTCTCCGCCTTCCGGGGTCCGCAAGGCCAGGCGAATCCCAGATTTTTCCACACTTCCGTGTACAAGAGCATCCCCACGAAGACCAAGACGGTGCCCAGCCAATGCCAGGTGGTGAAAGAGTTCTGGAAGTAGAGGATGGAAAAGATGAGGCTGACAAACTTCCTCAGCGTCACGACCAGCGTGACGGTTAAGGAGGTGCACTCGGTGGTCAAGATGAAGACTCCTCGGATGCAGATGTATCTGAGGAAAAGGGGCGGCGTTAAGGGAAAGGAGCAAAAAACAATAGTAAAAGGAGATTGAATAGAAGAGATTCACGAGAGTTGGAAGGGACCTTGGAGGTCTTCTAGTCCAACCCCCCCCTTGCTTAGGCAGGAAACCCTATACTGCTGCAGACAAATGGTTGTCTGCGCTCTACTTTAAGACCTCCAGTGATGGGAGAAGGAAGGAAAGGAGGGAGAGAGGGAAGGAAGGAAGGAAGGAAAGGAGGGAGGAAAGGAAGAAAAGGAAGGAGGAAAAGAAGGAAGGAAAGAAGGGAGGGAAGGAAGGAAAGAAGGGAGGAAGGAAAAGAAGGAAGGAAAGAAGGGTTAGGCAACCCTAACCCTCTCTTCATCCTAGGGCATGCAGGGAGGAATGGAAAAGAGAGCGATGTGGGTTGGGTGGCTTACGGGGGAGGAAAGGGTCCTGATTCCCTTCATTAGCCACACCTGGGAAGGGAGTTTAAAAGAAATGCATGCTGAGTGCGAATGAAGAGATGAAGAGAAGGTTAAGGTTGCCTAACCCTTCTTTCCTTCCTTCTTTTCCTCCCTCCCTTTTCTTCCTTCCTTTCCTCCCTCCCTTCTTTTCTTCCTTCCCTCCCTCCTTTCCTTCCTTCCTTTCCTCCCTCTCTCCTTTTCTTCCTTTCCTCCCTCCTTTCCTTCCTTCCTTCCTTCTTTCCCTCTCTCCCTCCTTTCCTTACTTCCTTCCTTCTTTCCCTCTCTCCTTCCTTTCCTTCCTTCTCCATCACTGGAGGTTTTAAAGTAGAGCGTGGACAACCATTTGTCTGCAGTGGTATAGGGAGCAAATGTGGGTTTATCTTTTGTTGACTTTGGTTATCTGTGTTCCTGGCATCCTTCCAGCCGTGTTGAGTTACTGCCCTGCCTTAACGTTCCGGAATTCTTGCTCCTACCTTGCCAAACTAATTACCTCATTTAGCCTTGACTGGACTTAAAGTTACAGTTTTTGTTGACCATGTTTTGGACTTGATTCTCTGCAGCCAAAGGCTGTTCCTGGGAGAGTTTTTCTCCAGCCCAGAAGGGAACCAGGACATTGGGGGCAAAGTTGGAGATAATAAAGGGACTCCTACCGATTATCTGACTGTGTTGCCTCATCACACAGCCTCCACCTAAGATTGAACTCACAGCCTCCTGGTTGTGAGGCCAGAGCTCCACCTTCTAGGCCACCACTCCAAAACCTTAACAAGATGCAGGACTCTTAAGAAGTCCCCCTCTGTCATACGGAAGCCAGGAATGTTGGCTGAGCCTCAACTTCACCGTTAATGTCTGCTAGATATCTCCCCACCCCCCAAAAAAACCCCCAAAGGATACTGAGTTATGACGTTCATCATGAGATAAAACCACATGATGGGTAGGTTGAGCCCAACCAACGGCACTTGGACGAGTCCTGTTGGAGAAGAGAGGACAGTGAGTTAGGAACCTTTAAAGCAGGGATCGCCAGTCAGTGGGGCGCGGACCACTGGTAGTCCACAAGAAAATTTCGGTGGTTTGCAGAGAAATGTTGCCAACAAATCACCCCCAAAATCAATTAATCCAGGCTGCGCGGGAACACAAGGCTTGCATCGCTTGCATTGTGAGCAACACGAAGTAGTGAGGGGAGGGGGGAAAGGACAGAGGGGGAGAACTTGCCCTCACTCCCCCACGCGCCTGGCCTGGCCACGGGCTGCCTTTTTCCGCTTCTTTCTTCTTCTGCTTCTGGATGCACGCAAGGAAAGCAGCCAAAGTCTTTCTTTCTCACCCCCAAACTCCGCCAGAAATGAGTCTTTGGGACCCTGCAAGGCCTCCTGCTCCAAGAGGATGCGCCGGCAAAGACTCATTTCTGGCAGAGTTTGGGGGAGAGAAAGAAAGATTTCTGCGGCTTCCGCTGCTTTCCTTGCATGAAGCCAAAAGTCTCTCTCTCTCTCTCCCACCAACGTCAGCAAGCCACCGTCAGTCAAAATTCATATTACTCGTCCGTGGAATTTAAAATTATGAGTTTGGGGGTCTCTGAGGTCCAAAGGGTTGGCGACCCCTGCTTCAAAGAACATACAACATGCTAAGCAACTGGTCTTAAGTCGAGTAACTCCACTCCGTCCTTAAGAGGACAACTCCACAGCTACCAGACTCCTTCTAATTTTAAGCGGCACCTGCTAGATTTCCGTTACAAATTAAAAAATCAGCCCTCCGTATCAACTCACTAGTTTGACTGAAGAGAAGTCCATGCCTGTAAATATCTGGAGCCAGAAAGAGAAACCCCGGAAGAGGAAGGGCGTGCTAGAAGGGGAAAAAAAATGAAACGAAAGTTTTGGAACAGAACTGGCAAAATTAAGTTTGGCACCACAATCCCCATCATGACTGCAGATCCTGGAGCAGAGCGGAAGAGTTGAAGTCCACCCACCTTAAAGCTATAGGCCAGGGAATTCTGGGAGTGGAAGTCCATCTCTCTTAAAGCATGCTGACTGAGGAATTCTGGGACTTGATACACCCCTCTGAAAGCTATTAGCCAGGGAATTCTGGGAGTGCTCCTATCTCAAAGCATGCTTGGCTGGGGAATTCTGGGAATTGAAGTTTATGCATCTTAAAGCATGCTGGCTAGGGAATTCTGGGAATTGAAGTCCACCCATCTCAAAGCATGCTGGCTGGGGAATTCTGGGAGTGGAAGTCCACCCATCTTAAAGCCTGCTGGCTGGGGAATTCTGGGAGTTGAAGTCCACCCATCTTAAAGCCTGCTGGCTGGGGAATTCTGGGAGTTGAAGTCCACCCATCTTAAAGCCTGCTGGCTACAGAATTCTGGGAGTTGAAGTCCACACATCTCAAGGCATGCTGGCTGGGGAATTCTGGGAGTCCATCCATCTTAAAGCCTGCTGCCTGGGGAATTCTGGGAGTTTAAGTCCACCCATCTCAAAGCATGCTGGCTGGGGAATTCTGGGAGTTGAAGTCCACCCATCTCAAAGCATGCTGGCTGGGGAATTCTGGGAGTTGAAGTCCACCCATCTCAAAGCCTGCTGGCTGGGGAATTCTGGGAGTTGAAGTGTCTTAAAGCATGCTGGCTGAAGAATCCTTAACTCCTGCAAATTGAAACTAGATAAAATGGACGGTGGACACTTACATTGTAGAAGAGCGCTTCCTTTGAGTGTTTTCCAAACTTCTTATAGATGGTTTCCTGGAAGATCCCCATCAGGGCGGACATGAGGAGAGCAAAGGTCAAGGCCGCAATTCCTAAAACATAATGGTTGAGACCAACCTTGTGGGTTTGCCCTTCAGCAGAAAAGCCCACGACTCGATGAACACTCAGGATCTGCAAAAGCTATTCAGCTAAAAGTAAGATATCCTCAATCTCAGGTTTGACTACGTTAATACATCCGTCTAGTTTTCTTGGCAACGAAACAGACTGTGGTTGGAAACTGTCTTATTGCAGGATATTTTTCAGCTTCCCAGTTTACTACATCTTAGCTTGTAGGGAACAAACCAAGGTTGCTTAAAAACCCGGCAAAAACAAACTTGAGACTGAGGGATAGATAACCTTGAGTTGCACTATTCAATGCAGCATGAAAACATATTCATAGAAATTGTAGCTCAGCGTTGAATTGTAGGGTCCTTGGTGCTCTCTGAGCTTGGTGGTTTACTTGCAGACATTTCATGACCAGACTAGGTAACGGCATCAGTGCTGGAATGTAGGGGGAGTTGCGGAGAGGAGGAGGAGGAGAACTGTGAGGTCCTTGGTGCTTTCTGAGCATGGTGTTTTTCTTGCAGATGTTTCATGACCCAACTAGGTAACATCTACAAGGGAATGGGTTTTGTAGGGAGGAGGAGGAGGAGGAAGAGGAGGAGGAGGAGGAAAGGAAGGAAGGAAGGAAGGAAGGAAGGAAGGAAGGAAGGAAGGAAGGAAGGAAGGAAGGAAGGAAGGAAGGAAGGACTGGAAGAATCCTTGGTGCTTTCTGAGCTTGGTGGTTTCCTTGCAGACGTTTCACGACCCAACTAGGTAACATCATCCATGCTAGAAGGGAAGGGTTTCGCTCTCTGTTTATAAACGAGTGTTTTGCCCAGTCCGTGTTGGTGGGTTTCAACTGGGAAACTAGGACCATCTTAGAGCAAGCTGAGTGAACTCCTGGAAGCCTGGCACGCTGACAAAACAGCCATCAATGAGCAGATAGAGATAAATAACATTTACACACCATTTGAAAGAGGCCATCGAAAAGCTAAAAAGGAAACGAAAGCACCTCCCCACCAGCAATCCACACCCGCATAAGTAGACATGAATGCCAAGATTAACACTAGACCAACAACCAAGACTTAAAGGAACAACCAATTAAGACAAACAAGCTAACCGTAAACAACAGCCTAATTAAGGAAAACAAGAATACTCCAAGCAACATTGATAGAGCAAGCTGCTTGTGTATAAACTAGCGGGGTCCCCAAACTTGGCAACTTTAAGACTTGTGGACTTCAACTCCCTGAATTCTGGGAGTTGAAACCCACAAGTCTTTTTTTTTTTAAAAAAATATAGTTTATTAATTTTACAATTAAAACCAACCGACAATACATACACAAATAAACTGAAGAAAGGAAAGGGGGAAAGGAAAGCGAAAAAAAAAGAAAAATTTAGAGGAGAGAGAGAAAGGGAAGTAGAGAGAAAAAGAACAAGAAGAGAAAGAAAAAAAAAAGGAAAAGAAGAAAGTTAGAAGAAGAAAGAAACAAGTCTTAAAGTTGCCAAGTTTGGAGACCTCTGGTATAAACCAAGGGCAAATCCCTTCTAGCACCGGTGATGTTACCTAGTTGGGTCATGAAAGGAGGAGGAGGAAGAGGAAGGGGAATAAGAATAAGCAAACCTCCAAGTTCACAGAGCACCAATGACCCCACAGTCATTCCTTCTCCACCTCCCTTCCCCCTCCCTCCTCCTCCTCCTCCTCTCTGCAAACCCTACTCCCTTCTAACACTGATAATGTTCACAAGTTGGGTCATGAGACGTCTGCAAGAAAACCACCAAGCTCAGGCAGCACCAAGGACCCCTCATTTATTCTCTTCCTCCTCCTCCTTCTTCCTCTCCATTCCTTCTCCTCCTCCTCAACTCCTCCTCCTTCCAGCACTGATGTTGTTACCTAGTTGGGGCATGAAATGTCTTGCAAGGAAACTACCAGTCTCGGAGAGCACCGAGGACCTCGTGAAAACACATTCTTGGCCCTGTAGAAAAATATTGTCTGCGCACAGCCCCCCAAAGCCGGCCTTAACACCTCCTCATTTCGCAATTCCCGTAGGTTTTGATTCCTATCAACGGAGTGAACACACCCAAGATTAGACGCTCCAGCGAACCTTAGCCAAGGCGTGCCAGGGAAAAGCTCGGGTGGCAATATATGAAAGCGTTTTCGCTAGTGTGATTAATGCACCTGTTGCCTCTGTTGTGTAGGCGGAGGGAGAAACCACACCACAACTTTAAACAGGCCTGGACAAAGTACAAAAACAAAGAACAAAAACAGCCGGCGAGAGAACAAAGAGGAGAAGGCCAGGCCGCAAAGGACCACCGGATTTAATATGACCTTGAAATGAATCGGGTGCAATTCAATGACTACATTAATTCTTATTATTAGTTTGGAATTTCCGCCACACTATAACAAGAAAACCATATAAATATGGCGGCTGGTTCAATTTATAGAGTTGGGTTTGGAAACAGGATTCTGTTTTGTGCCCCTTTCCAGAAAAGGGTCAACCGTGGGGAGGACTTACAGACCTAGAAGCCACCAGAGAAAGGCAGAGATGCTCTCCTCATCTTCACTCGAACCCGACACAGAGCTCTACAAGGGGGGGGGAAGAGAGGGAGGGAAGGAAGGAAGGAAGGAGAGGAAGGAAAGAAGGGAAGGGAAGGAAGAAGGAAGAAAAAGGAGGGAGGAAGAAAGAAAGAATGGATGGATTAGTGGAAGAAAAGGGGGGAAGGAAGGAGAAGGAGTGAAGGAAGGAAGAAGAGGGAGGGAGGAAGGAAGAAAAGGGAGGGAGGAAAGAAGGGAAGGAGGGAGGGAGGGAGGAAAAAAGGACAAGAGACAAGAATGGATGGATTAATGGAAGAAAAGGGGGGAAGGAAGAAGGAGTGAAGGAAGGAAGGAAGAAAAGGGAGGGAAGAAGGAAGGGAGGAAGAAAAGGGGGGAGGAAGGAAGAAAAGGGAAGGAGGAAAGAAGGGAAGGAGGGAGGGAGGAAGGAAGAAAGGACAAGAGAGAAGAATGGACAGATTGATGAAGAAAAAGGGAGAAGAAAGGGAGGGAGGGAGGGAGGGAAGGAAGAAAGGAAGGAAGAACAAGAGGGGGAGAGGTATGAGAGAAAATGGATGGATTGATGGAAGAAAAGGAGAGAAGAAAGGGAGGAAGGAAAAAGACAGACGGAAAGGAAAGGAAAGGAAAAAAGAAAGAAAGAAAGAAAGAAAGAAAGAAAGAAAGAAAGAAAAGAAAGAAAGAAAGAAAGAAAGAAAGAAAGAAAGAAGAAAAAATGTCAGCTCCTGCAATTGATCTCTTCTTACAAGATTCATCAACAGGCATCACATTCGCATCAAAGATTATAAACGAGCGCAACTGATACATGACTGCAAATACCACCCATAAAATGCAGCCCTGGAGGGAAGGTTTCCCCAAATCCCACCTCGAGAAAGAGAGGATTTGCGAGACCTCAGCACCCCCTCTCCCTTTTCCCTCCTCCCTGCTCTCACGCTAGTCCTCATGATCTCCAGAAAAGATGGCGGCTTCTGATCGGCCGCTCCAGGCAGTCGACTTCCAACAATTCGCTCAAGTGACCGTTCGAAGCCGTAACAGCACCGAAAAAAGGGACTGAGGGCCGGGTTTTTTTTCTGCACTTACAACCATAAAAGTTGTGTGGGGCGGGGGAAAGTTAACCGTCTGGCTTAGCTACATAAATTTTGGGCTGAATTGCAGTTGTCAAGTGGAGGGCGAAGCTGTGTGATCGTAAGAAGACGAACCCTTTTAGTTCTTGGGTTTCAAATTCTCCTTTCCTCTCCTCGTTCTTTTTCTGTCTTTCCCTTCGGTCTCCTTAACTTTCTCTACCTGCCAATTTTTTAACTGGGCAAGTCCTCGGGGACTTTGATTTGCTTTTATTATATTTGTCTTAGTCGTTGTATTTAATTTTTTTTTTCTTCTCTGCTGTTGGAATTGCTTTGCGGACCAATAAATCAACTTAAACAAAGAGAAAATTCCAATAGGGAAAAAAAAATGAGAGCTTCCCCTGCTTTTATTTTAATTTTTTAATGACTCCCTGGCCTTTTCTGCACACAGGTGCAATGTTCCAGCTTTAAAATCCATTGAAAAAGTCACGAAAATATCCCTAAAACAAAACAAACTAGACCAGGTGGTCTACCTGACTGGGTTTAAGCTAGTCTGGGCTGGCCTTGGCCCACCTGGCCAGGTAAACGATGAAGCCGCAAAGAGGGGCAAGATCCAGTTTGCGGCCAATGTCCTTCTACCGTGTGATATGTATGAATTACATATTAAGAGTTACACCTGCGAAAATGAGAACCATGAGTAATGCCATATTTATCTGGGCTGGTGGTGAGATTTGCCAACTCGCCCAACTGCGCCGAATCTTAACTACCGGTCCGTCAGAACCGGTGCGAACCAGCAGCAGCCCACCTCTGACTGTGGGGCATGCTGGGATGCACGTCTCACCTTGGAAGACACAACAGGTATTTAAGAGGGAGAAAAACGGGACTTACCAGTTCTTTGGCTGACATGAGAGTACAGGTGAAAATGCCCAGAGAGACCAAAGCGATAGAGATGTATTTGGAGACGGTGTACCTGAGAACAAGAGAAGGAAGGGAGACCTTGAACAGAAAGGAACCGAACCGCCCGAAACCCTCCGCTCACCTTTGCACGGGGAATCCTCCAAGCTTTGAGAATCTCAACTTTGGTAGCAAGGAAGAAACAGCCAGTTTGGTGAAGGCGCCTGGCTAAAAGAGAGGAAGAAGTGAGTTCTAGTCCTACCTTAGGCAGGAAAGCCGGCTGGGAGAGTTTAAGCCACTGTTTCCTGGTGATTGGCCCAAAGTCACCCAGGTGGCTTTCATGCTTAAGGCAGGACTAGAACTCACCGTCTCCTGGTGATTGGCCCAAAGTCACCCAACTGGCTTTCCTGCCTAAAGTGGACTAGAACTCACTGTCTCCTGGTGATTGGCCCAAAATCACCCAACTGGCTTTCCTGCCTAAAGTGGACTAGAACTCACTGTCTCCTGGTGATTGGCCCAAAGTCACCCAACTGGCTTTCCTGCCTAAAGTGGACTAGAACTCACCAACTCCTGGTGATTGATCTAAAGTCACCCAGCTGGCTTTCATGACTAAAGTGGGACTAGAACTCACCGTCTCCTGCTGATTGGCCCAAAGTCACCCAACTGGCTTTCCTGCCCAAAGTGGACTAGAACTCACTGTCTCCTGGTGATTGGCCCAAAATCACCCAGCCAGCTTTCATGCCTAAGGCAGGAATAGAACTCACTGTCTCCTGATGATTGGTCCAAAGTCACCCAAATGGCTTTCATGCCTAAAGTGGGACTAGAACTCACTGTCTCCTGGTGATTGGCCCAAAGTCACCCAAATGGCTTTCATGCCTAAAGTGGGACTAGAACTCACTGTCTCCTGGTGATTGATCTAAAGTCACAAAGCAAGTTTTCATGCTTAAGGCAGGACTAGAACTCACACTCGCCTAGTGATTGGCCCAAAGTCACCCAGCCATCTTTCCTGCCTAAGGCAAAACTAGAACTCACCGTCTCCCGGTTTCTCGCCTGGCGATTTCACCACCAAACCCAACTGGCTCTCTCTTGGTCCCTAAAGAATGGCTCCTTCTTCCATAGCAACCACAGACAGGACCCTCCCTCGCACCCTTTAAATCCCACACGCCCCTCTCGGAATAACAGCAGCAAAGCCAAATCTCAGCACTACGGCTCCCATTTTTGGTTTTCCATTGCAGTAGGGCAGTGACGGCGAACCTTTTCGTTGTGGTGTGCCGAAAGCGCGTGCGCGTGCAGGGCCCACAATGCAATGCGCCCCATCCCCCCTGCGCATGCGCACGCAACACTCCCGCCCTTCCCCCTTACCTGCACTGTGCACATGTGTGCCTCCCAACTGATTTTCGATCCATTTGAGGCCTTTTCGTCCTTGAGGGAAGCCTCTGCAGCCTCGGGAGGCTGAAAAATGGGCCTTCCGGAAATACCGGAAGTGCCCGTTTTCAGCCTCCGGAGGGCCTCTGAAGCCTGGGGCAGGCCGTTTTCTCCCTCCTGGGGGCTCGAGGGAAGTCTCTGCAGCCTCGGAAGGCCGAAAAATGGGCCGGTTTCGTCACTTCCAGTATTTCCGGAAGGTCCATTTTTTTTTCAGCTTCCCGAGGCTGCAGAGGCTTCTCTCGAGCCTCCGGGAGGGCGAAAACGGCCTCAAATGGGCCGAAAATCAGCTGTGAGGCACACGCACGCGCAGTACAGGCAAGTTTGGCTGGGGCTCGCGTGCCCGCACAAATGGCTTTGCATGCCATCACGGGATTAGGGGGTCTCTTTGAGGACGACAAGAACATCTCGTTCCCAAGCATGGTCCTTCCCACATACCAGTCTGGCCCCACCCCTTCCAGAAGACAAGACCCCCCCTCAAGATTACTTAATTCCCTCCCCGTAAACCCCCATAATTCTCTCAGAAAACCAGGAAGTCGGGTTGATGTCCCCGACTCTCCAATTTTGAAAAGAGCTCCAAAGTTGAGGTCAAAACCAGAGCGACTTGGAGGCTCTTGAAATCTTCCTAACCAACAGGTAGTCCTCGACTTACAGCCACAACTGAGCCCAAGATTTCTGTTGCTAAGCGAGGCAGCTGAGATTTGCCTGAGGCCGTGACCACGCTTTGCCACAGCCGTTAAGCGAATCACCGCCATCGTTGAGTGAGTCACACGGTTGTTAAGCGAATACGGCTTCCTCCCTTGGCTTGCCAGAAGGTCGCAAAAAAAGGGAATCACATGGCACACACCTGCCCCCTGGGACACCGCAACCGTCATAAATAGGCGTCCGTGGGCAAACGTCTGAATTTTGATCACGTGCCCACGGGGAAGGCTGCAAAGGTCCTAAGCGTGAAAAACGGACCCACGTCGCTTTTTTCAACAGCATTTGATCTCTCAAATGAATGGTTGTGTAGGTAGATTCTCAGTCCTCCAGGTCATAGTTGTCCCAAAGGTGCTTTTTTCTCAAGAGGCAGCTGGACTTTCTGGTTTTTTTTCTTGGAAGACGTTTCGCTCCTCATTTGAGAAACTTCCTCAGTTCTGATCGGATGGTGAAGAATGGCAGGATTGATATTCCTTGCAGACAGATGTGCATCCTTTTTAGAGGGTCGTTGAGGCCACTTGGAGGTTTATCTGAGTCTTCAGGGTCACACCTGAGTGGTGCAAATGGGTGTGGAGCCTTCTGACTGGATGGTGGGGAATGGAAGGATTGATATTCCTTGCAGACAACTGGTCATTTGCATCCTTTTAGACGGTCGTTGAGGCCACTTGGAGGTTTCTCTGTGTCCTCAGGGTCACCTGGGTGGTGCAAATGAGTGTGGAGCCTTCTGACTGGATGGTGGGGAAGGATTGATACTCCTTGCAGACAGCTGGACATTTGCATCCTTTTTAGAGAGACGTTGAGGCCACTTGGAGGTTTCTCTGTGTCCTCGGGGTCACCTGAGTGGTGCAAATGGGTGTGGAGCCTTCTGACTGGATGATGGGGAAGGAAGGATTGATACTCCTTGCAGACAGCTGGTCATTTGCATCCTTTTAGAGGGTCGGTGAGGCCACTTGGAGGTTTCTCTGTGTCCTCGGGGTCACCTGAGTGGCGCAAATGAGTGTGGAGCCTTCTTGGAAATGCTGAAAGGACCGTGTTGTAGACTGGGGATAGAGGACGCCATTTCCTTCCTTCTCTGTTGAGAGAGGGATGTTCAATTTTGAGATAGATGGCCTCTTGGACCCCTCTTTCAAACCAGGGGTCCTTCTCTGTCCAGAATGTGGACTTTGCTGTCTTCCAAAGAGTGGCCTTTTGTCTTATAAATGCAGGCGCTGAATCTAATCCTGATGGGTTTGTTCTGCTAGGTGGCGCCATGTGTTTGTGAAGTGGCAGTTTTGTTTCCCCAGTGTACAGATCTACCCATAGCTCACTCCATTGTACTGCATAGGCCTCGTTGCTCAGTTAGTGACGAAAAATCACAATGAAAAGAAACAATGAAGCCCAGTTGCCTCTAGAAAAGAGCACCTTGGGGATAAATGAACAGTTGTAAGTTGAGGACTGCCTGTACATGCATGGTCCTTCGGGCCCAACCCCAAGGAAAAGCCATGAACCCGTCCCTCACTGTGAGGACCCGGGGTGTGGCACAAAAGCCCTTTTTAAATCCTGTTTTCCCAGCTGCAGCTAATGAAGGGAATCAGGGCCCCTTTCTCCCCCGTAACCCATGTTGCTCCCTTCTCTGTTCCTCCCTGTGTGCCCTAGGATGAAGAGGGGGTGGGCCTGGGCCTTCTTTTGAAGGCCCAGCCGGATTGTGCCTTTTCCCAGTTTCCTCCACAGCCACCGGAGCCATACTCCCACTCCCTGTCAGCTGCTCAATCTCCGCCTCAGAATCAGATTCCAACAGGGGCTTCACACTGGTGAATGGCCAGAGTCTGGTTTCGTGGCTACCGGAAGAAGCAGCCATCTTACCTTTTCTTCAGAATGATAATCCCTAGTGCCATGCTGGCTATCAAAGAGCCCTAGAGGGAAAGAAATAGAGAAGAAGGGTTTTAAAAAAAGCTATCAGGATTCTGGCAGTTACCCCCAATTTAAATCATGAGTCTCAAACCAAACATCCGAAACTTTAAAAAGGATTTCTTGGGAATTAACAGGCCGGCACTGCCTGGGTGTATCGTAATTCATATCCTCCAATGAGACACATCCATAGCTCAGAGTCATCAATCAGGCTCTCCAGTTAGAATTTTGCAGCCCGAAACTTCGGTCACCTAGTTACTATCTTTGAGAACATTTATGGAATGCACTTTCGGTTTGCAAGCTGCCGCACTGCTCCCCCCTCCCTTTCTGTTGGCAACTCTAAAAAGTCCAGAGAAATATTTTATGAGTTGATAATAGCCATTGGGATAATACAGGTAGTCCGTGACTTACAACAGTTCATTTAGTGACCGTTCAAAGTTATAACGGCACTGAAGGAAAAAAGCGACTTATGATGGTTTTTCACACTTATGACTAAATTAGGATGTAAATCTTTGGCTGAAGGTCCGGGTGGGCCTCGACTTACAACCGCAATCAAACTCAATGTTTCTTTTGCTGGAGCAAGACATCTTTTTAAGTGAATTTCACCCCATTTTACGACCTTTTTTGGCCACAGTGGTTAAGTTAACCTATCTTAACCCCTGCAATGGTTAAGATAGGTCAGTGGTAGCTAACCTTTTTGGGCTCCTGTGCAAAAAAATTGTGCACGCATTTAGCACGCGCGCACTGACATGCCAGCACCCAGAATGCAATGCGCGTCCTCACATCCCCTGCGTCTGCACGTGCAATCTCCCCTTCTGCTTAACTGCACTGCACCTCACAGCTGATTTTTTGGCTTCCAGAGGCTTGGAAAAAGCCTCGGCAAGGCTTTTCAGGATGAATAATAGGCCCGTTTCATCACTTCTGGTATTACAGGCCTATTATTCATCCTGAAAAGCCGTGCAGAGGCTTTTTCCAAGTCTCTGGGAGGCTGAAAAAGGCCTCAGACCAGCTGAAAAATCAGCTGTGAGCCGCACGCATGCACAGTGAGGTAAGTTTGCCTGTGGCTTGTGTGCTGGCACAAATGGCTCTGCGTGCCACTTGTGGCGCACGTGCCATACGTTTGCCATCACGGAGATAGGTTAAGTGAATCGGGCTCCCCTACTGATTTCGTTGGATAGAAGGTCGCAAAAGGGAATCACGTGACCTTGAGACACAGCAACGGTCGTAAGTAAGAACCAGTGGCCGAGCATCTGAATTTTGATCACATGACCACGGGGGATGCTGCAACGGCAATTGGTGTGAAACCCGGTCATATGTCACTTTTTTTCAGGGCCGTTGTAACCTTGAATGGTCACTACATGAAGCATTGTAAGTCGAGGACTACCTGCATCGGATATCTTTTGCAGGTTAAGAAGGTTGGGGGTAGATATAGTCACTATATGGGCATTAAACTGAAGATTACCACAGGTAATCCTCAATTTAGTACAGGTGTACAGGTGACTTTGGGCCAACAATCAGGAGCTGATGAATTCTAGTCTCGCCTTAGGCCTGAAAGCCAACCAGGTGACTTTGGGCCGATCACCAGGAGACGGTGAGTTCTAGTCCCGCCCTAGGCATGAAAGCTGACTGAGTGACTTTGGGCCAATCAGCAGGAGACGGTGAGTTCTAGTCCTGCCTTAGGCATGAAAGCTGACTGAGTGACTTTGGGCCAATCAGCAGAACCCGGTGAGTTCCAGTCCCGCCTTAGGCATGAAAGCTGAGTGACTTTGGCCCAATCAGCAGGAGACGGTGAGTTCTAGTCCCGCCTTAGGCATGAAAGCTGGCTGGGTGACTTTGGGCCAATCACACTCTCTAAGTCCAACCCACCTCACAGAGCTGTTATTGAGGAATAGGAAGAAGTATTAGATATGTCCATCTCCTTGAGTTATTAATAAAAAACATTAAAGGTGGGGTACAAACAAATAAATATTAAAACCTGGAATAAAATCTCACCGATCTAAATATCATATGCAGGGGCATCGCGATGTTCAGGTTGAGGGCATAGTTGTTCACCACACTGACTGTGAAAAACATGCCCACCATAATGAGGTAGAACCTAGAAAAAAGAGAAGTCCAAAATTATTCACCTGTTCTGACCTCAGCTTCCCCAAAAAGCACAAAGCAGACTCTTTGTCCTGGCAAAACTCCTTTTATTAAACGAAGGTGAATTTCTTGCATTCACCTTCAGCCCTTTATAGGCCTGGCATGTTTGTCTTTCAAGGGTCTGATTAGGAGCACAGGCCTCATCTCGCCTGGAGAGCTGCCAAGGAACTATTTCCAAACGCAGTGCTGACAAGGAAGGACTCGGCACAGAGACTCTGGGATGCACAGACAGATCTTCCCGCGGCTGCAACGAACGAATGGTTTCCTGCAAAATCCTCCTCCCCTTTTGCTCCTCTTTTGGGAGGGGAGGGGCCATTCGGTGTCCACCTGTGGCCTTACTTCCTTGTTCCTTAGCTGTTCCCTTCTTCTGGCAGCTCTGCTCATACGCACACTGGAAACAGGCTCCAGCTGTTCTTCTACCCCACTGATCTCTGACTCCAAAGGCAGCTAACTGTCGAACGGCCCTGGCCCCAACTCTGCCTCCGACGCAGAGCCCTCCTCAGAGCCTTCCTCAGCCTCCAGGACTGGCCCAGGTTCCTCCCCAACCTCCTCACTGTCTGACTCTGCTGCCAACTCCGCTAGCCACCTGTGGGCCACAACATCACCTTCCAAGTTAGGTGGGATGTGAGTTTTCTGGAAGGCGGCCCCCTCCCCATTTGAAATCCTCCCGGACTTCTACCCAAAGCCGAAAGAAGGGATCACAAATCAAATACAGATAGTCTTCAAGTGACTGTCGTTAAATGAATCTGGCTTTTCCCCCCATTGGCTTTGCTTGTCAGGTCGCAAAAGGGGAACATGTGACCTCGGGATGCTGAAAAACCGTCATAAGTACATGCCAGTTGCCAAGCCTCTGAATTTTGATCACGTGACCATTGGGGAAGGCCAGAACAGTTATAAGGGTGAAAAAACAGTTGTTAAGTCACTTTTCTCAGTGCCATTGTAACTTCGAGCTGTCACTAAATGAACTGTTGTAAGTCGAGGACTACCTGTAGTTTGTTGTTACAGAAATGGGTAGCATTCACTAATTAAAAAGCTGAGATTGTAGTTATATTTTGCACCTCACTGCACTGAAAAAAAAAAGTTGGAAATTGCTGGTTTATTCTTTCTTCCCTGACCCATGAGCTTCTTTCCTTTTCCTTCCTCATTTCCCCGTTAACTTTATTTTCAGCTGTATTTTATATTAGGACAAAGTCGAATAAAAGTTATATTTAAAAACAAAAGAGATTGGCCGTATCTGACAGGAAAAATGAGCTGTTTTCCTTGCCCTTCCTCATTTCCTCATTATCTTTACTTTCAGTTGTAGTCTATATTAGGATCAACTCGAATAAAAATTCTATTTCAAAACAGAAGAGATCGGCCGAACCTGATGGGAATTGTGGGCGGTTTCCTTCCAAAGTTTGCTTCGAAGACGAAACCTTCCAAAGCTATAAAGAAGAACTGGGAGAACGTGATCAAATTCCCGCTTCCTGGAAATTCCCTGCGTTGGAGATAAGACAAAGAAGAAAAGAACGTCACAATTTTTCTGCAACTTTGGGGGAAAAAAAAAAATCTTGTACAAACCGAATACAGTAGCTTTTCTCCCCCTAAGTTGGAAATAAAAATAAGAAATATAACCAAGCAAGAAAAAGGCAAAAAAAAAAAAAGCAGCTCAAATGCCATGCGCTTTTGGCAAATGGAAGTGATCGAGACTCAGAAAAAAATAAATGTAATAAGAGTGTTGTGGTACAACTGTGAAAACAATAGTTATAATTGGGATGTACAATACTATGTAGGTCAGGGGTGTCCAACCTTGACAACTTTAAGACTTGTGGACTTCAACTCCCAGAATTCCTCAGCCCACAAGTCTTAAAGTTGCCAAGGTTGGACACCCCTGATGTAGGTAAAAGAGACTACACTGTATGACTACACTGTGTTGTGATCCGCCGGCGGCCAGCGGAGATGGCAGCAGAGTTGGACAGTGGGGAAAAACATGGGCCAGGCCAGGAGTCTGGGGAGGACTCGGACGAGGGATCTGCGTCCGACACAGATATGGGGCCGGGGCCATCTGGGAGTTATGTGTGAACTCCGGAGCCTCCAGAATCTGACAGCAGTGAGGAAGAGGAACAGCAGGAGCCTGTTCCCAGTGTGCGCATGCACAGAGATGCCAGAAGGCAAGAACAGTTAAGACAAAAGAGTCAACTCCGGAGTAAGGCTTGGAGATGATTGGCCCCGCCCATAAAACATAAAGGAAGAGCAAAGAGACAGGAGCCTTTGCAGGAAGCAACTTTGTTCGTTCTGGTCTGTTTAAAATCTGAAGCTCCGTGTGGACTTTGTGCTCCGTTTGGCCTCGTACAGCTAATTGGCAATTTAGTCATTGGCAGCATTTCAAGGGAGATAAAGGTGGGTGCTTATCAGCCTTATCCCGAAGGACTGTGGCAGACTTCCATAGGACTATTTTTTAAAAATAAATTTTATTGAACAAAAAAGGGGAAAAAAATTTAAAAACAATGAATGTGGTGTAATCCTCCTGACACACCTAGTACCCAAATTTATCCCCTATATGTTGGAAATGTGTTAAGGAAAATGAGTCGTATTATCATGTATGGTGGAATTGTAGAAAAGCCCAAAACTTTTGGCACAAGATCCAGAGATGGTTAGAAGAGATGTGTGAAATTAAAATAAAATACAAAGCGGATTTTTTTTTTTAATTGGGAATCAATTTCGAGAAATATAATAAAGATATAATATCTCTAATAATACATGTAATCACAGCTGCAAGATTAATTTACGCCTCAAAATGGAAATGAAATACCAGAGGAAATAGAAATAATTAGAAAAAAATTGGACATGTGCAGAAATGGACAAATTGACACAAGAATTAAAAAATAAAGACGAATTCGAACATTATAAAATATAGGAAAAGTTTTACCACTGGTTGGAAAAAAGGAAGGATCAGGAGTATTAAAAATGACTAATGTTAATGTATATATTATATATTATATATCATGTATATAGAATGTAAATATATATTATGTATTATGTATGCATTATTTTTCATATGAATTAGCGATGTAAGACAACTAGGTGTGTCAGGAGGATTACACCACGTTCATTGTTCTTTTTCCGTTGGACTATTCATAAACTGCTTGGGGCTCATTACAGGCTGTGAATGCATATAATTCACGGCTTTTGAAATAAAAACAAGGTTTTTGGGAACAGCATGTGATTGTAACTGTCTCAGGAAGTCTTGGTCAGAACACTATGAAAATAATAATAATGGTTATAACCAGGGTGTATAATACGGTGTATATTTGAAAAGGACTTGATATAGCCAGGATGCTGCCATTGCAAAACTGGAAGTGTGATGTATAATAACAAAAAATGTACATATTATAAAGAAAAAAGAAAATTCCGGAGACTCTGGACTACAGAAAATATCCGTGGTTGACAGACGACAAATTTTGTAGCTCAAGGCTGAACTGAAGGCTCCTTGGTGCTCTCTGAGCTTGGCTGTTTTCTTGCAGACGTTTCATGACCCAACTAAGAAACATCATCAGTGAGAAGGACGGTGGGGGTTTGCCACGCGCACTGATGACGTTATCTAGTTGGGTCACAAGACCCAAGAATGAAGTTCAGAGAGCACCAAGGACCCCACGGAATTTGAATTCATACAAGAGAATCTTTGTAGCCTGGGATTGAACTGTGAGGTTTCTTGGCACTCTCTGAACTTGGTCAGGGGGGGGGGGGGGTGCGACCATTTCGTGACCCACTAGGTAATATCATCAATATCAGAAGAGAAGGGGTTTGCAAGGAGGAGGAGGAGGAGGAGGAAAATTACAATTATGGGGTCCTTGGTGCTCTCTGAGCTTGGTAGTTTTCTTACAAGATATTTCATGACCCAACTAGGGAATATCATCAGTGCTAGAAAGAAGTGGGGTTTGTGGAGAGGAGGAGGGGGAGGAGGAGAATAAGGAAGGGAAGGGAAGAAGGAGGAGGAGGAAGAGAAGAAATGAGGGTTCCTTGGTGCTCTCTTAGCTGGGTTGTTTTCTTGCTGACATTTCATGACCCAACTAGGTAACATCATCAGTGCTAGAAGAGAGGAGGAGGAGGAGGAGGAGGAGAACAATTACAACTGTGGGGTCCTTAGTGTTCTCGGAGCTTGGGGGTTTCCTTACAAGACGTCTCATGACCCAACTAGGGAATATCATCAATACAGAAGAGAATGGGGTTTGAGGAGAGGAGGAGGACTGTAAGGTCCATGGTGCTCTCTAAGCTGGGTGGTTTCCTTGCAGACCCAACTAGGGAACCTGATCAGTGTTGGAAGGGAGTGGAGTTTGTGGAGAGGAGGAAGAGGAGGAGATGAAGGAGGAGAAGATGGAGGAGGAGGAGGAGGACTGTAAGGTCCTTGGTTCTCCCTGAGCTGGGTGGTTTCCTTGCAGACGTTTCATGACCCAACTAGGGAACACCATCCATGGTCCATGAGAGTGGGGTTTGTGAAGAGGAGGTGGAGGCAGAGGAGGAGGAGGAAAAGGACAATGGGATCCTTGGAACTTCCTGAGCGTGGCTATTTCCTTGCAGACGTCTCCTGACCCAACTAGGGAACGTCATCAGTGCCGGAGGTTTGTGGAGAGGAGGAAGAAAAGGAGAACTAGGACTGTTGGGAGGTCCTTGGGGTTCCCAGAGCCCGGCTGGTTTTCTTGCACAGACGTCTCCTGACCCAACTAGGGAACGTCATCAGGGCCAACACCAACCACTTGAATGGCCAGCCAAAGAAACCCGAAGCGGGGCTGCCGTTCCATGCGGGGGAAGGGCGCCCAAGGCCAGCCCAGCCGCCCACCTGGCACCCCCACACTCACCGGATCAGCAGCTCCAGGAAAACCACGTTGCTGCAGCATCCCGCGAAGACCAGCCCCACCGCCAGAGACGGGCGCATCCTGGCCAGCAAAGAGCACCGGGGCGCCCGCAAGCTCCAAGCCGGCACCTTGAGCGGCGCCCACGCTTCCTGCTCCGGCCCCGCTTCGCCCGCCCTCTGCCGCTGTAGTTCTTCAGCGGCATCCCCGCCGGGCAACCTGACGGCGCTCCCGAGCGGAGCGGACTACGCCTCCCAGGAAGCCCCGCGCGCCCCCGCTCTTGTTACACGTGTCCGTCTCTCCGCCAGGCCGGGGCTCCCTTCCGGACGGCTTCCCAGAGGCCTTCTGGGAGTTGGAGTCCTCCGTCCTTCTCAGGGGAAAAACAGGTAAAGTGAACGTGAAAAAGAAAAAAAGGCAAATAGAAGACAGAAAAAAAATGAAAGAACAGAAAGCATGAAATGTTATGTTATGTAATGCTGTTATTATAGCATATTATATATATATTATATTACATTTTATTATTTTATATTATATTTATACCGGTATTTATATCATATATCATATTATACCAATATTTATATTATATTTATACCAGTATTTATATCATATATCATATTATACCAATATTTATATCATATCATATCATATCATATTTATATCATACTATATCATACCATACCATATTATTTTAATATACCAGTATTTATATTATATTACATTATATCAAATCATATCATATCATATCATATATCATATTATATTATATCATACCATATTATATCATATCATACCACACCACACCATACCATACAATATTATTTTATTATACTGGTTATTATGTTATGTTAAGTTATGTTATATCTAATATATATATTACATTACATTGGCATTAAATTACATTACAGCATTGCATTGCATTGCATTGCATTTATAACCATTTTTCACACTTACAACCATTTCGGCATCCCTATGGACACGCGATCAAAATTCAGGCACTTCAAAACTGGCATGTATTTATAACAGTTGAGATGTCCTGCGATTCATGGGATCCCCTTTTTATTTATTTTATTTTATTTTTTATTTGTTAATTGCTTACAAGATAATACGTATAAGTAAAAACATAGTTATGAATACATGGATACATATAAGAAAAAAAAAGAATCAATAGGACAGGGATGGTAGGTACGTTGGTGCGTTTATGCACGCCCCCCTACAGACCTCTTAGGAAAGGGGTGAGGTCAATAGTGGACAGTCTAAGGTTAAAGTTTTGGGGGTTTGGGGAAGAAACCACAGAGTCAGGCAGAGTATTCCAGACATTGGCCACTCGGTTGCTGAAGTCGTATTTCCTGCCATCAAGTTTGGTGCGATTAACCTTGAGTTTGTATCTATTGTTTGCTCTTGTATTGTTATGGTTGAAGCTGAAGTATTCATTGACAGGTAGGACATTGCAATGTATGATTTTATATACTATACTTAGATCAGACCAAAGATGGCGTAATTCAAGGTTTTCTAGGTCTAGAATTTCGAGTCTGGTGGCATAAGGTAGTCTGCAACGAGTAGAGGAGTGGAGAACTCTTCTTGTGAAATATTTCTGGACTTTCTCAACTGTGTTAATATCCGATACGTAATGTGGGTTCCAGACTGATGAGCTGTATTCAAGTATTGGTCTAGCAAATGTTTTGTATCCTCTAGTTAGTAGTGTGATGTTACCAGAGAAAAAGCTACGTAGGAGTAGGTTAACAATTCTTAATGCCTTTTTGGCTATGTAGTTACAGTGGGCTCTAGCACTTAGATCATTAGAGATGAGTATTCCAAGGCCCTTTACAGAGCTTGGATCATCAACAAGATCTTGACTATTCAGCCTGTATTTTATTTTCTGATTTTTTTTTTGCCAATATGTAAGACAGAGCATTTATTTGTTGAGATTTGAAGTTGCCATTTTTTTGACCATTCTGATACATAGTCAAGATCTTTTTGAAGGGTAGCAGTATTGTCTGTGGTATTGAACAGCTTTACATCATCAGCGAAAAGAACGCAGTTGCTATTGATATGATCACAGAGGTCATTTATGTAGAGTATGAAGAGAGTTGGTCCTAGAACACTGCTTTGGGGGACACACTATTGACAGGTGCAGAATTTGATAGGACGCTCCCAATTTTGACCATTTGTTGTCTGTTTGACAAGAATGCTTCTATCCAGTTATGCAGTTGTCCAGAGACACCATAAGATTTTAGTTTTAGTAGTTTGTCGTGTACCACTGAATCGAAGGCTTTACAGAAGTCTATGTAGATTGCGTCTATTGCTTTGCCCTGATCGAGTTGTATCGTCCATATGTTTTTGCAGTGTAAGAGTTGCAGATTACATGATAGTTTTTTCCTAAAACCAAATTGTTTATTAGAGAGTAGGTTGTTTGTTTCTAAGTGGAGGATGATGGATTGGTCAATAATTGATTCCATGACTTTTTGTGACTTTGTGACTGATGGTGTTGCCTAGTTGGGTCATGAAACGTCTGCCGGAAACCACCAAGCTCAGAGAGTACCCAGGACTATAAAGGATTAATGTAAATGACCATACTGTTGCTAGGAAAACTACAAATATATTTCTGGTGTTCATCTCCACCAGAGAGAATCCATACCTTTCTCCTTTTTAGGCTGATCTAAAAAGATCAAAGTAATCTGAGCGTATACCTGTTGTGCGCAACCACTTCTTCTCAAGCAAAGCTTACTTTGAGCCACAAATTCTCTGTGCTGATTCGGATGAATTCTGGTGTCAATCAGGATTATTATTTTTTATTTTTTTAAAAAAAAAGACTTAAATGTCATTTCTGATAGTTGCTTTTAGGAGAAAAAAATATGCAAGCAATTAACTTGGTGGCTCTCTGCCCATAAAGGGTCAGGAGGCAAACCCATATATTAACCTGGACACCCCTTTGATGGCCGGAAGAGAGAAAGCTCTTTGAAGATTATTAAACCTGAACAGAAGGGAGAAATCCATCATTTGTACCCCAGAGATTTGCATTTAATAAACTGTGAAATACCTGGGAGTGTAAATGCATTTTTGATCAGTAGTGCCTGCAACCTTTTTAATAAGACCGGATCCCAAATACATGGTAGGTTGGAGTTGCTTTGAGTTTGACCCTGGTGGGCAGAGAATTCAAGACGAAGAATATTTGCAGAAGGTTGAGAGTTAAAGACTTCCCAGTTCGTTGGACTAGACAGCTTTATAAGAGAAGGGAAACCATCTGTGGACTTTCTATGCACTAAAGATCACAAATGCTTAACAGAGGGATTGGAAGGAATAGAATAGGAAATAGAATAGAATAGGTATAAAAGAATAGGATAGGATAGGAATAGAAAAGAATAGAATAGGGAATAGAATAGAATAAGTATACAACAATAGAACAGAATAGAAAAGAAAAGAAAAGAAAAGAAAAGAACAGAATAGAATAGAATAGAAATAAAACAAGAATAGAATTGAATAGAAAATAGGAATAGAATATGTATAAAACAATAGAATGGGATGGGATGGGATAGGAATAGAATAGAATAGGAATAGAATAGAGTAGGAATAGGAATAAGAATAGAATAGAATAGAATAGAATAAGTATAAAACAATAGAATAGAACAGAATAGAAAAGAAAAGAACAGAAAAGAACAGAACAGAATAGAAATAAAACAAAAATAGAATTGAATAGAAAATAGAAAATAGGAATAGAATATGTATAAAACAGTGGAATAGAATAGAATAGAATAGAATAGAATAGAATAGAATAATTTATTGGCCAAGTGTGATTGGACACACAAGGAATTTGTCTTTGGTGCATAAGCTCTCAGTACATAAAAATACATTCATCAAGAATCATAAGATAGAACACTTAGTGACCATCATAGGACACTAAATAAGCAATCAAATCATACTAGGAAACTAAATAAAACAATATAAATTGTAAAGATACAAGCAACAAGGTTATATAGTCATCAGTAAGAGGAGATAGATAATAGGACGGATGAGAAGAAGAATAGTAATGTGGCCTTAGTAAATAGTTGGACAGTGTTGAGGGAATTATTTGTTTAGCAGAGTGAAGGAATAGAAAACACACAACAGTTGTTCGATTGCTCCTGTATTGTAAACTGAATAGGAGATGCAATTCCATGCATTTGTCATAACCAAAATCCTATAGTTTGGAAAAGACAATAAAGAAACGTTGGGTGCATTAAGGTGTTTATTGTATTTGTGTGTGTATTTGTGCCTCTACCTGTGTGTTTCAGTCCAACATGCTTCAAATTGAATTCTTCCCCAGAGGCACTTTTGACAACCAGTTCAAATCTCAGTCTCTTTGTGTGCTGAATTACATTGCAGCTGCATGGTGTCCATCCCACATCCGGTCTATTTTTTTCCTCTTCCTCTTTTCTTCTCTTCTTTCCTGATCACTTAATGTTGTCGGGTTTAGGGAGAAAATGGTGGGGGGGTGGGGTGGGGAATGGCAAAGAGGTGTTGGAAAAAACGGATGATATGGAAGGTTAAAAGTTTTTGCAGACTCGCTTCTAGGGCAACATATAAATTTAACAAACAAGCAAACGAATAAATATGGACTTTTTTCAGTGCCGTTGCAACTTCAAAGAGTCACTAAATGAGTTGAGAGCTATCTGTATCTCCATTTTTTGAGAGATTACTTGATATCCATCCATCTCTTCTACCTGACTGTCTGTCTGTATATCTATATCAATCGATCAGTCGATCGATCTCTATCAGTCTATCTCTCTCTCTCTCTCTCTCTCTCTCTCTCTCTCTCTCTCTCGGTCGGTCTATCTATCTATCTATCTATCTATCTATCTATCTATCTATCTATCTCATCTATCATTTATATATGTCTATCTGTCTATCCATCTATTGTCTATCCATCTTCAATCTATTCATCTAACTTTCTTCTATCTATTCATCTATTTTTCTTCTATCATCTATCTATATCTGCCTCTGTCTCTCTCTCTGTCTGCCTATCTATCTATCTATCTATCTATCTATCTATCTATCTATCTATCTATATCTATCTCTACCTACCTACCCATCCATCCATCTATCCATCTATATTATCTATCCTCTGTCTATCATATTATCTATCCTATCTATCTCTCACCATCTCTCTCTCTCTATCCTAGATGGATATAGGATATTATCTATCCTCTATCTCTACTGTATCTATTTATCCATCTC